TTTAAGAGAAGATACACAATAAGACACTTAGAGGTTAAGGGCATGATGTCTATTTGTAAGCAGTATATATATTTGTCTCTATATGAAAGTGAAAGTCGCTCAGTCTTGTCCGACTCTTCGCAACCCCATGGACTATACAGGGGGAATTCTCCAGGCCATAATACTGGAGTGGGTAGCCATTCCCTTCTCCAGGGGATCTTCCTAATCCAGGAATCAAACCCAGGTCTCCCACATTGCAGGCAGATTCTTTACCAGCTGAACCATGAGGGAAATCCATCTGTATATGGTGAATGGTGAATATGTATGAACAAATATAGCATACAAATGGTATTATACATATAGAGGGAAGTCTTCCCTCATGGCTCAGATGGTAAAGCGTCTGCTTACAATGCAGGAGACCCGGGTTCAAGCCCTGGGTCAGGAAGATCTCCTGGAGAAGGAAATGGCAACCCACTCCAGTATTCTTGCCTGGGAAATCCCATGGACGGAGAAGCCTGGTAGGCTATGGTCCATGGGGTTGCAAAGAGTCAGATACGACTGAACAACTTCATATATATAGATGTGAATATTTGATGAATGCTATATATATATATATATATATATATGAGTTTATACATATAGAATGACAAAACAATAGGACAAAATGTAAATAATGGATGAATCTAAGTAAATGGTGTACAAGAGTTTCTTATACTATTCTTGCACCTTTTCTGTAAATTTGAAATTATAAGAATAAAGTTATAAAAAAATTCCCACTGAGAGGCATGCAGAAAAGACCCTGACAGGTCTCAAGAACCAGGAAAGCATACCAGCTGTCACCTTTTTCTCCCTGCAGCTCTGATGGCAGTCAGACCTCTGTCCCCCTGGAGGACAGTACCTCCGCTGTATGGACAGCACAAGGACGGCCCTGAGATTGTGGAAGGCACAGAGTGGTGCGGGAGGAATGTGGATCAGGGTTGCCCTCACAGTGCCCACATCTTACCATCTGTGAGACTCTGGGCAGGACAGTTTAGTTCTCTAAGACTCGGTTTTGCTCATCTATAAAGTGGGAACAACTAATACAATTAGCTCAGTGGAATGAGACTTGTCTGAAGCAATACAGACTGAGTGTCTAAGACGATGCCTGCTACATAGGTGTTCAAGGAAACTCTTGTTTTGTGTGATGGGCAGATCATTGAATCAGAGGCCCTTGTGATCAAGAAATGCACTTGTACATTTCTCCCTCCAGTCTTTCCTCAATAAAAGGAATGTTATTCCTCATCAACCAAACCACATTTCTCTCCTCCTTCATAACCTGGTTCACCATCTCCCTCATTCAGAAATCTTCCCACACTTCCCAAATCTGACCCCCTCCTCACTTCTGTACTTGTGAGCTGGTGTCCAGCAGGTTAACTTGTACTTTCACCAGTTTTCTCTCATCCAGCCCCTTGGATTTGGGCATATCAGCCTGGCTTTTTCCTCACATTCCCCAGAACTTGGCTCCAGTGGTGGCCTCAGGGGCTCTTAGGCAATGTGTGGATGATGACCATCCAATCTCATACCTGACAGCTCTTCACAGGACCAAACATTCAAGCTGGGGAGGGGAGGCCACCAGACATGGATCTGGTCACCATCTGTTTGACAAGGAAACCACTCAGCTTTCCCTTGGTCACTAGAGGAAAGATGTATTTCCTGGTTATATTAGGTACTTCCCAGTCCCTGACAAAAACGAATACACATACACAGCCAGACCACTCAATGACATGAGAATCTGGGCTTTATCATGGAATCAGAAATGTCTGGGACAGAGGATGGCAATGCTAACAGAATAAGAGAAGTTGAAGGGGTGCACAGACTGCATAATTCCACCTCTGTGGGAAAAAATTCAACTGATATATTTGCATGTGTATATAAGAATATTTATAAAAGAGTAATTGTGAATATATTTAAGGAGGTGAGTGGAATTAGGGGTAAGATGAAAGAAGGCTTTCATGTACTGGGTAAACTGTACTATTCAAAATGTTTAAACAAGAAGACATGCATATTTAATGTATGTAATTAAAAAATAATATAAATTATCCCCCAAAGTGAGAAAAGAACTCAGGTTGCAGACCTGAAAGACACCCCCTTCATTTCATGTCTCCAGGCAGCTACCTTCTCAGGAATCTCCTGGGAAGGAAGCCCCACATGGTGGTGTACAGGTACCCAGGGAACTTGCAGGTTCTCAGCATCCCAGGGGGTGATGGCTGGGGTAATGAGGGGATCAGCAAAGAGATTCAATGTGGCCATTACCATACATGGAGACACACACTTCCATCCTTTTGGGAATAAGACATCTGTCTGTGACTCCAACTTGAAGGCTCTTCTACACAGAGTGAAATTTCCCTTCAGCAGACAAGCAGTGTTGGCTGGAGTTAATGCCAATCACAGATGTGTGTGTCTGCTAGGGAGAGAAAGCACTTTCAGCCAGCCCTGCCCCACCTTTCAAGCAGCACTGCCTGCTGAGCCCCATTCCCTGCGCCCTCTGCAGGGGAAAGAACCATGGGGTTCAGCCTCTACCACGGAGTATCTTGCTCCCTCCGTAAAGGCGGGTGCTAGAATACACAAGGACCTGGGACTGAGGAGCCCCCAGGTGGTTCCACATTTAAGGGAGGCAGTAGAGAAGACCTGCTTCTGCTTTCTCAAGACCAGAGATGCAAGGGCACCGGGCTTCCCTCTGGAGCAGCTGCTCTCCAGCCTGACTGGCAGCACCTTGGAATGGCCCAGAAGCTGAAACAAATACTGAAGCTGCCCACCACCAGAGGAGGTACTGATCCAATGAGTCTGGGGTAGAGCAGGCGGCAGCGTTTTTAAAATGGTCCCTAGGTGAATTTAATATGCAGCCAGGGTTGCGAGCCCCTTCCCTAGAAGTGCATGATGACAACCCGACCAGGGTTTTCTGAAGACTTCTTCTCCAGGGCAACAAACCCTCGAGGCTGCTCACTGCCTCCAGCTTGTGTCTCTCTTTCACAACTCTCCTCCCACCCCATCTCCCTTCCCTGGGGATCTCAATGGAATGGATGTGCCAGGGCGGAGAACAGGAGACTGCTGACTTCCCAGCTGGAACCCCAGGGATCCCTGCTTCTGCCCCCAGGAGGGAAGAACAATCACTCAGACCCAGTTCACTGCCAGTTGTGCTCTTCTAAGAGCCCACGTCTCTCCTGCTGATTTGCTCCCATAACTAACAGCACAGGCCCAAGAAATCCTTTCAGAAGATAAAATCACTAACCCATTCTCACCGGGTTTTTTAAAAGAATTGTTTCTGCATTTCCAACAACTCATTAAATGTCCACTTTGGATACTTGGAGGCTCCTGGGTAGTTAGATATCCATGAGAAATTATCACTCCAGTTCAGTTGGCACAGCATACTGCAGGCTGAGCGGGGCCGCCCCTGACAGCCTGGCTTGTATGTGCATGAGGAACCCAAGCTCCTCACTGGGGAGGGAAATATGTTTCTTTGATGAGATGCAAATAAAACCAAGTTCCAGAACACTGCCTTGTAATGGAAAAGTGGAGGCAGCCTGTGAATTACCCTCGCTTGCTTCCCTTGTTAGCACAGGTATTCAGGAGTTTGTCTTGTCTTTCGCTCTTTAAAACACAGAAAGAGTGTGTTGGGGATGTCCAGGAAACCCCACACCTCCTGTTAACACTGGAGCTTTTAAGGCAAAGTTCTAACAAAATTAGACAATAATTCATCAGTAGGAGAAGCCAGGGCTGCCTTATGATCTTTGTGGACTCTAAGCACTGTTGCCTTTCAGGGCCCCGGAAGATCCCCTGGAGAAGGAAATGGCAATCCACTCCAGTACTCTTAACTGGAAAATTCCATGGACTGAGGAGCCTGGTAGGCTACAGTCCATGGGGTCGCAAAGAGTCGGACACAACTGAGAGACTTCACTTTCACTTTCATTCATTAAAGAAAAAAAAATATATGGATATATGTAAGTTACATTTTATAACTGCATTGGTATAAAGATGAATATTAATATTAAAGATTAAAACATCTTCTTTGATCTAAAAGTTAATTCTCTTCCTAATTTTATAAGATATTAAAACATTTTTATGGGCCTGTAAAAGCACCCCCATAAGATGAGGGGATCCTGGAGGAGCCGAGATCCAAAAACAGGGAGAAAGCCATGCAGAGTCTCAGAAAAAGCCCCATTCCTGCTCAGCTGTTTAGACCACAGCTGATTCCAAAAGATGTGGGTAAGGCCCTTCTGTGAATAGGTCACAGCACCATCATCCTGAAAGGCGCGCCCCTGAGTTGGCCCCATGACCTTACGAAGTAGGAGGGAGGATGAGACAGACATGTCACTGTGACACAGGGAAGGAGACAGCCTTCTGGCAGAAGTGGGTGCTGAGGACTACGGGGGCTCACAGGAGGGAAGAGCTCCTTTCAGGCAGGGCAAGGACAAACTCAGGGATGAGACGGCTTTTCCGTGGGAGTCTGTCTGAAGGCAGAGATGCCCAAGCAAAGGCATGAGGGGAGGAGCACACGGATGGCTGGAGCACGCAGAGGAGCTCGGCTTGCCTTGAGGATAAAACAGGAGAAAGGAGCCGGGGGCGGGGCAGCACTCAGAAGGAAAGGCTGAGGTGCGATGTCAGAAGGGTGTGCATGTGTGGCAGGTGTGCCAGGGCGGCCACCTGGAAAGGTTCACTCGTATGGGGCTGGTGGGCTCTGCAGGTGACTGGGCACTCCAGCTGGGACTGATCTGGTCAGAGCCCTCCCTGGAGAAGGTGCATCCGGCAGGAAAGACAGCTGAGAGAGACTAGGGGATGGTCTCCCAGGGGTCAGGTGGGGCCTGAGTGGGGCTGACAGAGGACGTGGATGTCCTCAGGCCTGAAGACATGGGAGGGGTGAGGGGGGTCATCAGGAGCTCACGGGGTACCAGGGTGAGGTCAGAGGCCAGGCTCTGCGGAGCACGGGCAAGGCAGTGGCGGCCCTTGGTTCTGGGCTCGCCTGGAAGAGTTGAACAGGTACTTACTCTCTGTTCCCAGCACTGGAGGAAGAGAGCTCTTTGGCCTCCGGGCTTTCATCTCCGGGGCCTTGGCATTCTCGCTGGCGGGGGCATCTGGAACTAAATGGGAACAACAAACATGAGTCAGCAGCCACCCAGGGAAAGAAGCAGAAGAAACATTGCAATAAAAATCCCACCTCCACCACCACCACGATAGTCCTCCCCAACCTGCTCCACTCGGAGGGCCCTTCATGCTATGGGGCAGATGGCACCTGGGCTGGCATCAAGAGCACCAAAGAAGGAGCAGTTGTGCCATCAGGCCTTATACATCAAGTGCAGAGCACAGTCCCCCTGAAGAAGGATGGACAGGCTACCCTGGCAGCTGGTGAGCACTTCCACCTCTGCTGTGGGTGCGGGCCAGCAGAATCACATCAGCAGGGCCCTCTGCTCACCCAGGCCCTGCCTTTCCCTTCACTGGGTCTTAACCCATTTGGGCTAAACATTATGGACTTCCAGAAGCCTGCTCTGTGCAGAGAGTTCTCTTAAACTGAGGAAGCAGGGCACAGGATGGTTGCCCTTGGGCTCACGATCTGGAGGGGTCTTGAGGCCTCCGTTTGCTGTAACTCCCTTGGAACAAGAGCACTGACAGTCAGACCTCCAGATCAGATGGAGGCCTCTGAGCAGGCAGTCGGCATGCCTCACTCGCTCTGGACTGAACCTTGGGCCTGTCATGGGGATTTCTGCATCCTCCCCAAAGTGAACTCAGTGGAACCCCGCAGTGGTAGCCTCTGGGCAGAGCTGAAATGCTACATGACTCCTCAGGCCTGTCCTCCACTCTCCCTCTTCACATTCACACCAAGTGTGGATGATGCCAGGGGAAGCCCCCCCTTGGCAGCAGGGTGTCAACTACAAACTGGCACTTGGCATAGGCTCTTGCCTTCTACCTCCACAAAGATTCAATAATGTGCTGCTGACCTCCAATACCTCCTGAAAGGAGTTCAGAGTGGAGAGCAGAACTGAGGCACTCTGTGCTCTGGGAGGGCAGGGTGTAGGAAACTGGCAGGATACATCTTCAGATAAACATATTTTCAGGAGCAAATTTTAGGAGCCCAATTCTTGTATCTCCTCATATCTAGAAAAACACTAAAATCCTTCATGGTGATGACTGTTTTTGGTGACTAGCACAAGTTTCACAAGACTAGCAGAAACCTTCTGGAAAAATATGTGTTTGATTGCATGTATTCACCCTTCACCAAAATTTCATATATACTTACCTTTCCACCCCATCTCTTTGGAGTAGTTTTTCAGAGCTATCTGAGGTGCTGTCTCCTGGGTTATAGTCCTCTTTTTGCCCTAAATAGAGCTTAACTTGCAACTCTCACATTGTGCTTTTTTTGTTTTTGTTTTTAAATTGCCAAGGGTAACACAGTGCTGGGCTGGGCTGAGTGGAAAAGGAAAAGGCCCTCACTGGGCCTTGAAGAGACCAGAATGGAGCAAGTTGCAGGGAAACTGCCCGCGGATCAGGATAAGAAGGTAGCGGTAGCTGGCTATACCACTATCACTAGATTCCAGCATTTTCCCCACAAGGAACTCCCTTCAGAGACCGTGCTAGGAGGGAGCCTCCCCCACTCAGAGCCCCTTCCTGTGCATCCTTTTCCTGCCCCTGAAGAGGAAGTACTAGGGAGAAAGGAGGGGGTGGGACTTTCCAGCTGAGGCTTGGCCACATTCCTGTGGCTTGGCTGGTGAGGAAGGGCCATCTCCCTGTCCCTCCTCCAGAGTGGGGCAATCCTGGCTGCTAACACGTGCTGTCTGCTAGACTGGACACTAGGGGCTCTGGCGGGTGGGCACATAAGCGCAGAACTAGGGGCTGGGCACTCTAGCCCAGCATGCAGACTCCCCCGGCATGCAGACTCAGTGCTACTCTCAGGATGCATTGCTCCTTCTAGATGGCATTGGATTCCTCTCCTGCTCTAGTATGTGGGTCTGTCCCTATATATTCCTTTATACCAGTAGACTTCCCTCCTAACCCAAGGCCGGCCCACTCTTTGTTAGCTGGGTAATCCAGGAATCCCCCTGCCCTGCTGCCATTCCCAGCTGCGTGTTATCCTTTGCCGCCTTCTGTAAGAGCCAAAAAGCCCCAGATGATGAGTCAGAGCCCCCGCCACCTGTAGCGACATGGTCTGTGTCCTGTCTCCTCAGTGGGCTGGCCCCACACTGGTCTCCGTGTGGACACGGATGAAGGAGCAGGAAGTGCCATGGGGAAGGGATGATTTCATTTTCTCTTATTGAGTATTCTCCCGGGACATAGTGGTCATTGTCATCTACAGAAAAATCCTCAGTACATATTTATCAACCTTTGGTTCTCAACCTTGGCTGCCCATTAGAAGCACCTGTACCTTGGTATTGCACTCCCCAGATCCCAACTTGATTGGTATGGGTGGGGGGGCTAGGTGTCAATAATATGCTGCCAGGCTGAAAACTGCTAGTCTCTCTCCTCAGGTGGGTGGGTATGTGGGTGAGAGCAGAGGTAGGGGCGGGTTTCAGGGACTACTGCTAGAGTCAGGAAAACCTGTCCATGCTTCCCTTGACATTTGTGGATGAGGCTGCCATAAACCAAGGTCATGAGATGAGTCTAGTTACCCTTGTCTAAGGCCCTCCCTTCTTCCCTTCCTTCCAGACCAGCATTGACAGCACCAATAACAATTCAAAGAAAGGCACACCTAGACATTTCTTTGTTTCCCCCCCTTTTAAGGAAGAGGAGGCAAGGACAGAGTAGGTACACACAGTCCTCTTTTCCTTGGCATTAGCACTCTTCTCGCCATCTTTTTCCCAGTGAGTTCCAGGGCATCAGAGGAGGGAGGTAAAGAACGATCAAGACTTTTTATTTTAATGATGGGGAGACTGAGGCCCAAGCAAGCAAAGGATGAGAGGCCCAGTCTCCCTGAGTGCCTGAACAAAGGCAGACAGGGACTGAGATTCCTTCTCTCCTCGTGGGGCTGTGGTGGGCTTTGCTTCTGAGCACCACTAGAGTCAGGAAGGAGAGAGGAGGGCTCTAGTTTCGCCTTTGTCATCAGCAATCCTGGGATCATGCTCCGGGTCTCTATTTCCACATTTGTACAAAGGAAATGACACTTATTTTCTCTGCCTTGCAGCGCTGCAAGACTCTAGGGAAAGAAGGCATGCAATGGTGATCATTTACCTATTCATTCACTTCTCCTGTTTGCCACATTGCCTGGCCTCCTTCCCAAATCCACTTTAAAATCTACCCCCTTCAGAAATCCTTCCCGGAGGCCCTGCTCTATGTTTCCTTCCTCTGCATCCGTCCTCAGAGCGTGGGTGACTGCTTTACAGTGAATTGTGAGCCTGGCGGGCTACAGTCCATGGGGTCACCAAGAGTCAGACACAACTGTATGTGCTTTGAGTTTTGTTTGTAGAGGTTCCCTGGACTTATCTTTCCATCTGGCCCTGGGAAAAGGGGCTCAACTTTCACTGTCAAACCAGGCACTCCCGCAGATGTGGAGCACTGCAGGGGTGGGAGGAGCCCCCTCTTTCCTCTGCAGCGCCCCCACCCCCTTGGGGGTTGTGCCTGCACCACAAGCCATTAACTGTCAGTCTGTCCATGAGAACCACAGCAAGGAGTGGGTTGGGAGGACCATGTGCTTAATCAGAACCAGCTTTGTGCTCACACGGCTGCCCGGGGGATAAAAATAATAGTTATAAAAGTTTAAGAGCAGCATGTATTTTCTGTCTATTTTAATCAGCTTGTGATGAAACTGAACTCCATTTCTAGATCTGGGCCCCAGAGCTGGAAGTCCTTTGCTGGCCTGCTTGTGCCCCCAAAGAAGCACGGGGGAGGAAGGTGGTGGTGTGGGGAGATGGGGGGCCTTGACATAGAGAGGAATACACATCCTTATATGGACAACACCTCACCCCTTCCACTCCTGGGCTAGCTCTGGGCTTAGGCTCCACTGCAGCCTTTCTCCTTCTATTTCCCCTAAGAGAGGTCACTCTCAGAGCTGCAACTCTCAGTAGGGGGAACGATGTCTTGGGAGGCTTCTGGGAGGTTTCTGAGCTTCCAGGAGCCCCCAGAATGGGTAGGGCAGCGGGGCTAGCCTCTCTCTCTCTGCCCCAGAGCAAGCAGCATGCTGGCAAGACTAGGGGGAGAGGTCGGACCAGAATGAGCATCTTCCCAGCTCTGCAGGCCGGTGACCATGAGGCCTTGGGGAAGCTCCTGATCTTCTTCACCAGGAAAATGAGAATAGCCACACCTCCCAGAGGAGGGGATGAGATGTGGAGTAACAGCTGGCATTTATTGGGTACTTAGTCCATGCCTGGGCGTCTGTGCTAAGTTGCTTCAGTCATGTCTGACTCTTTGAGACACCATGGACTGTAGCCCACCAGGCTCCTCTGCCCATGGGATTCTCTAGGCAAGAATACTGGAGTGGGTTGCCATGCCTTCCTCTAGGGGATCTCCCCAACCCAGGGACTGAACCCATGTCTCTTATGTCTCCTGCATTGGCAGGCAGGTTCTTTACCACTAGTGCCACCTGGGAAGTCCCAGTTCATGCCTGGTATGATGCTAAGTACTTTATACCCATGTTTCAGGTTGAACCATACGGTTTGCCAATGTTCAGGTGCTTTTGACCTGCTAAAATGGTAATTTGATTTAGTTCAGCCTAATACACATTAGCTGCCTGAGTCGATATCAAGAACAAATGGGAGTGATAGCAGATCAAAGCCAAGAAAAGAAGAGTGGGTCGAAGTCAATTCAGCAATCAGAAGAGTTACCTGGACATAGTGGCAGTGGACTGCAGCAGTTAGGAGCCAAGGCATACGTTGTTAGCTGCATACACCACAAGTTAGGCTTGAAACTCCCTTATCACAGTTACAAACCACCTCAAGTTGCCAAATCCAAAGGCCAATGCTCAGGTTCATCTTATTCTACTTGGCAGGGGCATCTGACGTATTGACCATCATCCTTTCTTGCGGAAATGATCACTCTCTGGCCTCCAGGACAACCCTCTCTCCTCGATTTCTTCCTATCTCATGGCAGCCAATCCTCTTGTCTCCTTTGCAGACCACTATCCTGCCCTGTTTCTCGTGTTGGGCTCTCTCCTTTTCTCTGCCATCCACATCCACCCTTAGGGACCCCATTTAATCCTAGGACATTCAATGGTCTCATGCAGTTGACTCCTCATATCCTGCCTCCAACCCTGACTCCTGCCTCAACTCCAGATTCGTCTAAATGTCAGCCAACGTGACAAGCCCCCTTGGATATCTTATGGATGTCTTATGGACCCCTTAAATTTCACATACTTGACTCTGCCCTCACCCTACCACCCCACATTCTAACTTCAGTAGCTGGTACCACCACTGACATGTGCTCTCTCACAAAAACTAAGGGTTACCTTTGACTTCCCTTTCTCTCTTTTTCCAGTTCCTCAGCAAATCCTAACAGCTGTGCTGTCAGAACATGATCAATCTGGTCATTTCCCACCTCTTCCATGGAGCCTAAGCTCCCTGGACATCGCGGCCACCTCGCACCTGCTCTCCTCGCCTCCTCCTGGGTCTGGTCACCACCTGAGGGATCCTTTACCATGTCCAATGTTGTCCCATTTCACTTAGAATAAAATCTGGTGTCCTGTTGCAGCCCACATGACCTTGCAGGTCCTCAGCCTCATTTCCCACACTCTGCCCCTGGCCTGGTGCTCAGCCACGCTGGTCTCCTTACCTCTCTTTCTGGGAGCGCCTGCTCACAGCCTCAGCTCAGGGCTGAGCTTCCTGCCCTTACTCTTCCTCCCTACTGCTGAGACTCCTTCCCACACGTCTTCAGGCCTCTGTTCAGACAGGCCTCAGCCTCCCCATTGCCCCGTTTTGCTTTCTCCACAGCACGTGTCATCACCTGAGACTGTAGGACTTATCTGCTTGTCCGTGTTTTTGTCTCTCCCTCACTCCAGTGTAAAGGCTCTGAGACCAGGATCTTCTGTTTCATTCATTGCTCTGAACCCTAGCCCCAGGGGCACTGCCTGGCAGGGTGGGCACTGGCTCACATACTGGCTGAACGAATGCCCATTGGAACACTACCCCCCACCCACACACACACCACCCTCCATGGTTGTGAAACCTCTGATCTCACAGGTGGCTGAGGCCCGAAGCCCCTGGCGGGGCAGCTGGGCAGGGTGGCTAGAGCTGCCCTGTCTTGGAGTTGGGGCCTACAAAGGGCTTTGCCTTCTCACCTCTCACCTGGGCCACTCACAGAGGTGCAGAATTTCCTAGCAAGAAAGGCTGTTAGTAAGGGAGACCTGGCTGTGTCAGACAGTGGAAACTTCAGTGTTATTCACTATACAGGGGCGCCACATAGCCCAGAGAAAGGTGCAGACTTCAGAACCAGACACACCTGGGTTCGAGTCCAGCCAGGGTAACTCATGCTGGGTGAGTTACCTGAACAGGGTGGCTCGGAGGGCCTGGGCTTTGGAATCAGAGACACTCAGGGACACAGCATCTCTGTACTGTCTGAGTGACTGGGGAAGCCTTCTGACCCTTACTGAACCTGGGTTTTCCCAATGAGAAGGATATCCTGCCCAATTGTTGCATAAACTAAAAATGCACAAGAGATTTTGGCCATGGCAGGCCTTGAAGCCCAGCCTTTTCTTCTCGTTAGGGTTTTTCTGACAAATCCTTACCCACTTCAGGCTTCAGCTGCTTTCTGCAGTACAAGCTGACATGCCTGCTGCTACCTTGAATGGAATGGCAGCATGACCATAATCAAGACAGTGCACAGAGCACCAAAGCAGCAGGATTAAGAGCCAGATGTGCTGCGATATAAAGGCTACTTCCCTGTGTCTCTACTGTAAGAGGGAGGCAGCAGTGTGGCTAATACAGAACAGCCAATGAGCCAAAGTCATTTTCATGAGGTCTTGAAATATATCATTCTGTTGGCCACAGACATAGAGTCTAAGTGGTATCCAGCACAGGCTACCTGAATGATGGTGAGTGACTGTCAGGGGCGAGGCCAGTCTGACATCAGTAGCAGCTGTGTTCCTCACCTCTAGTGGAGAGGGATCTTGCAGCCCCTTAGGAGGGATGCAAGACATGTCTTATCCAGAGATGTAGCAGGCAGCTGAAGATGGAGAAAAATGGAAGACCCTGCACAATGACTGGGCTTAAAAGTTCAGTCAAGGTAACTTCTTAGGGCAAGTGGTTTTTCACTCTATTTCAATTCATGACTTATTTTAAGAATTTGGTTAAAAACTATGGACTCTTTTAAAAAATGCTCTAATCCACAAACACACACAAATTTGCCTATAACATCAAATGGTGCATGGACCCATTGGGTGCTACCACCAGGTATTATTGAGTAAGGGAGTGGGGAGAGCTGAGAGGATCAGGGGACAGAGCAGGACTCAAAGCCTATTCAGCTGAGAGAAGCGCAGTGGGAAAGATGCTGAAAGGGGGCCAGGGAGCAGCTCAGAAGTCTGCAGTCCTTTACCAAGGGCTCAGAGGTGGCTCTTGATGGAAAGATAAAGCTAAATGTGGCAAGAAAGCAACTCACATGCAGGACAAGAACATATCTCCATGTGTAGCAACAGGGAAAAGAAGGTGGCTGTGGAAGGGGCTATCCTTTTTTCCCTTTGAAAAAATATATAAAACAAAATTCAGTTAACCTGAAGTCAGCCCTATTATCTCAGCTGGTTTCCCTCTGATCCCTTTCCTAGCTCTTCTCCTAAGACCCAACTCCCAATCTGTAGTTTGAGGCCAAACCCTGTAAGGGCCCCTCCAAAGAAACCACAGATAAATTATGATGGTCAAGGTTCATGGAGACAGCAAGGGAGTCTATTAGTCTACTAAGGGAGTCTACTAAGGAGACCAACTTAGGGGCAACAAAAGCGCCTTGAGTTGCAGAATGAATTCCCCAAACCTTTAAAAATATCCCCAAATATATTCTGTAAGGAAAAAGGAAATTTTACTTTTGAAAACAAGTTTGGTTTTAAAAATAAACCATTTTGCTCTTTCTGGAAAAGGTGCTGACACTTTGCAGATAAGAATGAATTGCTGTCCTGCCTTTAGCTGGACATGTAAATAGGACCTAAAGAGGCCAGGGATTCCAAAAGCAGATAACCTCATCAGCAAGAGGGGCTTCCTTCTGAAATCATCATGGTTCCCAAGTGTGGGCTGTTAGAAATAGGCTTCTGAGGCCAAGTTTCCAGGAACGCTATTCTGCAACACCTGTCTAGAAAGAAACAGGATCTGACCTGGGTGGGTGACAGGAGGAATCAGGAGCAGCAGCCCCTTAGCCTCAAAACACATGCTTCAAACCCCCTTCTGAACTGACTGCACACTTCCACCCATCGAATCTGCTCCCTTGAACTCAGAACATCTGTGACAAACACATTCACAGAACTCCAGGGAAACACACACAGCATTTTACAAACTCAGGTTTACTATTGGCAACTGACAATTTAATTTGTGTTGCCATTGCGTGTGTGTGTTTAAAGACTTTGGTTGTTAAGACTCTCCTTCCTTTTCTCCTGCTCATTGTGTATCACGATCTTAGCTTTCATGACCAGGAAATCACATTACAATATCTAGAACAGAGACAACGATTCCACATCTTGTGAAACAGGTTAGGAGTTTAGAAGTCAAGTGATCGTGTTCACAGTCAGAGGAACAACAAAGCTGGTCTTCAAGATGCCTTATTTGGACACTAGCTTTTAACATGTCACTGATAGTTACTAACCAGGCATTTCAAAGGCAAGAAATTGTTTCCCCTAACTACCTTTGTAGGTCATTGCAGGAAAGTAACAAAATACTGAGAATGGGCCCTGGATGTGAGTGCCAAGATGGGACTCTGGCCCTAGCTTGGCCCTAATAGAGCAGGAAACCCCATGAGGGACACTTTCCCTTCCCTGAATGGCCCAGTGTCCTGTCATATCAAGTGGAGGTGGTGGCCTAAACCATCTAATCTCCTTCCAAACACAATTCTAACCTACGCAGAGGAGAGCAGGAGACTCACAAACACACCACCCGTGTGCCTTTAGGACAGACAGATCCCCACAGGACTGGACTCGCCCCCTCCTCCCAGGAAGCTCCACTCAGACCTGGCAGGACTCTGCCCGCACAGCTCTCATCCCCTCCCTCTGTTACATTATGATTATTCCTCTCTAGTCACAGAGGCAGGCCTGTCCCCTCTACCCAAGGCCTCAGCCCCGACTCACCTCCTGGAAGAAGTGCCCCCACTTGGACCCCACTCTGCTCCCTCCTCACGGGTCTGCCCAGCCGCACTGACACTTGTTTGTTTCAGCTTGTAAAACCCTATGTAGTCATTTTCCTGTGGGTGTGTCTTCTCTCCTTTCTCCTCCTGTCTTGTGTCCGGCTTCCCTGCCTGGCATGGGGGGGCAGTTAGGACCGGGGAGGGGGCCCACAAGGTAAGCAGCCCTCCTCCCAGCTGAGGGCAGGGCTGCAAGGCCACAAGGAGCCATCAAGCAGAGCTGTCACTTCCCTTTCTGTCTCATGTTGCAAAAGATGGTTTGTCACCCACGATGAGAATGCCTCTGGTAGGGATGGCAGCTTTGGGTGCAGGTCTGTTCAGGGATGGTGGGCGCTGAGAAGTGGGACTCTGTGTGGGGCTGTGGTGGGTGGGTACCACCTACCGTCCACGGTGACTTGGCAGGAGCACTCAGCCTGACCGGCACTGTTCTTGGCTATACACTTATATAAGCCTCTGTCCTCGGGCAGTGCCTTCTCGATGGAGACGGAGCACAAGGAACCTGTGGGGGGGAGGAAGAAGTGTTGAGTGGACCAGGTCTGAGCCCAACATCTGCCCAGCACTAGGAGTATCACAGTGAGTGTGCTTCACACCGGCATCCTCAGGAGCCCAGAAGTCACAGGTCCCGTGGGAACCAACTCGCTCTCCTCATCAAAGCCCACAGATAACCCAGATGCAAGATAACTGATCCCTAAATACACCCAACCCCCGCTTCCAGCGAGTTCTCTCATAGAAATACACAATAGCAAGGTAAGAAGAAGAGAGAGAAATAGCCCCTGCCCTTGGAAGGCAGTAGCACAATACAAGGGGCAGATGGCCCAGGCCCTCGCACTGGACGTCACCTGAGAGACAAGCTCAGGTCCCCAGACTGTGGTAGGGACAGAGGCCGGTGAGGACGCTCCACCAGCTTACTGCGATGCTTCTGGGAATGCATTCTAGAAAAGGACGTTCTGAACAAACAGGTGAGTGGGGGAGGGCAGGAACCCCTGCCCAGCAGGGACACTGGCCTGTGGGCAGATCTGCTGGAAGGAGACAAGAGACCAGCCAGGGACCCTGGAGCTGGCTTTTCAGGAGTGGTATCTGTGCTGACACTCCTGGCTGACGAGGGGCCTTGGGCTGGGAGAGGGGCACTGAGGGGCTGCCTCCCCCAGGGGAGGGTCTTTTGGTCCCCTCCGAGAGGGATGGGACAGCTCTCTTTTCCACGGGTCTGCCCTTGCCCCAGCACGCCTCTTACGGCCTGGTTGAGGGAAGGAAGGGTCAGGTTGGGTGTATACTCAGGAGTCTGGTCCTTGCCCACCCTGGCTCTCTCATCCCAGGGCTGGCTCCTTCTCTGATGGACCCCTTTGGGGAGTTTCCCTGAGGGTGTGGGGAGAGACCACCTGAGGACTGGGCCTGCTGGGCCAGGCAGGGGGGCAGCAGTGCTTTCGCTCCTGCCATCAGACACACGCACAAGCCAGCAGCACGGCATCCTGCTCGAAGTTGGCCTGTTGTCTTGGCAGCTGTCATCACATGAAGAAGAGGACACAGCCGGAGCCATGCGCATCCTGCCATCTAGAGCTCTGGCCACCTCCCTCTCCACCACACTGCCCGGCGCAAGTCACTGGTCCTGAGCCAGCAGAGCTCTATGCATCCAGGTGTGAATGTGCAGAGGCACGGCCTCTGATCGAAAAAGTACCTGTGCCCCCATCAGACAGACACACAGACTTGACCAACAAATACAAGGACACTCGGAGAGAGGAAGGGTGACGTCAGTTCTGCACAGAGAATCTTACCAAGGCTGGAGGAGAAAGCGAGATAGAAGCGTTGTTTATTTCCTGGCACCTGGGTAAAGTCTTCAACAGGGAAACCTCAGTTCCACCAACTCCCTGGGTCAGGACGGCTGATCTGCACCCCCTCCCTCCTACACTCTCATTTAGACCCCATCCTTCAGCAGGGCCTCCCTGCACTGTCCTACAGCATACAGCAATGCCTCAGGGTCTCTGTCCCCTGTGGTTAATTTGCAGAAACGGCAACAGAAAGGATTTAGGCAGGATTTTTAGGAATTCTGTCATGAAAGTGAGAACTATGAGGCACAGAAATCAGGGAATGAGAGAAACTGTCTTCTAGAGAGAGAAGTTTCCATTCATCCGAGAGGCAGGGGCATGAGAAGATGACCTCTGGCCTCCAAACTTGAGGCTTAGAAGACACAGACCCCATCCTGCCATTTTTCCTCAGTCTGAGGCTAAGGCCCACTCCCAACAAACCTCCTGGTTGAATCTCTGACTGTCTCTCAGCTTCAGTCCCCCAGCTGCCTTCAGCCTTAAACCAAAATGGCACAAAACAGTAGTGAGACCCCAGAAGAGGCAGAACATGTAGACAAGAGCCCTCGCTCTTCACGGCGGGGGCTGGGGTGGGAGGTGGGGGATGGGTGGGATATCACAAAGGCAGCTTTTCCAAGCTGCTCAGAGCCTAGACCCCTGGCCATGTGTGTGGGTTGGGGGAGGGCCCCCGGCAGGCTTGGAGGCTGGGCTAGCCCAGATTGAAGAATCTGGTATTTCCTGTGGGACAGCTTATTCCTGACCTCCAGAAGAAAAACCATTTCCCAGAGTTTTTTTGAGAAGCCTCAGTCTGGTGGGGAATTTTGAGAAGGTGAGGGGGATGGGAACCAGGGATCCAATGAATGGCTCAGCTAGAACCCTCCTTGGGAGAGCCCCTCAAGGTCACAGAGTCTGAAGGCCCCCTCCTCCCATCCTGCCTGTGTTCTGAGTGTGGGGAGAGGGGAGGTGGGGTGTGTGAGGTGGAGGGAGTGGTCCCAAGCCCCAGAGGCTCTGCTGAGGCTGTTCTCTGTGTCAGTGCCCCAGCTCATCAGGACAGTGCTACTCAGCTCTGGGTCACCTCTTCGGGGACAAGGCCATATTGAAACACCCCCAGCCATAGACAGGCCTCTTCTATGCACTGAGTTCACCTCCCAAGGCCATTACTAAACACATGCCTCTCTCCCACCCTAGCGGTTGGAGGGCAGTGCCTGTGACTATTGTGAATGTTTTTCCTGAGCCTGGAACACCGTCAGTTAAAAAAAAAAATCATTCTGAGAATGACCAAAGCATATTTCTGGAACAGGTGATCTGGTAGGATCTATGCAAGAAAAAGTCATGAACACTTGATCGAACATAACTGACCCTTGAAAGAGATAATACGGTTTCTAAAAGGGAAAGAAATTCTTAACTCAGAATTCTTCAAGTGGATTATGCATCCAATGAAATGGGCTGGAATACTGCCTTACACATAGTAAGTGCGGTATAGATCCTTGTGGATGGACTTACATAGATTTTGAAAAAGCCTTTACAAGATCCCACACTAATGGCAAGAAAAAATGAATCACCCATTGACAACACAACGAAAATGAATTCTCATTAATAGATGAGGAGAAATGTTTGCTGGGGGAAGAAACCTGGCCTGGGGACAGAAAATAAGGCATAAAGATGAAAGAAATTCTCAGCAGCAGCACAGAGCTCCCTGTCTGGCCACTGGCCTCCCAGTCCTGGGCCAAGGCCTGAGCAGCTCTGCTGCAGGTCCAGAAGGGCCTGGTAAGGCCACCCTGCAGGCCCAAGGGCAGGCCCAGTTGCTGTAAGTGAGCCCTGTAGCTCTGGGAGATGCAGGAAAAGCAAGGACACTTCCAAGAGTTCCTCCAAGAATGCAGTAAAAAAACAAACAAACAAACAAAAAAGAATGCAGTCAATTCAATTGACTGTCACCATACCTCTTCTGCTCTCTTGGCACTAGATGGAGTGAACATAATCATGTTCTGTGGGGCCCATGGGCTATGAGCCCTATTCAAGCTACAGAGTTCAGAGAAGCTCCCCCTAAAACCTATAAACAGTATCCACTAGCAGCAGGTCACAGACGTGCACACTGATGGCGGGAGAGCACAAGGGTCTGCCATGGCCAAAGGCCTGGGGACCACAGTCTGGGAGCGAGGCTTGGAGGAAGTGAACTTTGATCTTAGTCGAGGGAACAGCACACGGTTCAGTGCAGTGGAGTGAGAAGGGTGCTGAGTCAGGGAGGTGGGGGTCGAGAGGATAATCAGTAGGGTGTGAAGGATGGAGAAACCCACTTAGCAACCCCCTTCTCCCTACAAACACCTCAAAATGCCAGCTTCCTTATTTCCACTGATGCCATCACTACAACCCAGTCACCCCCTCACAGACACTCAGTGGTCCTGAACACCCTCCTCTTCCTTACCACCCCCTGCCCCCAACCCCATTCCAACCTAGGCACCAGGTTCTGTTAATTCTGCCCTTGCTTCTTAAACCGGTCATTTCCTGTCTGTGGCCATGGCTACCTTGCTAGTCCAGGCCTCACCATGTTTCTCCCCAACCTCTTCAAGACGCCTTTTCCTTGTCTTTGGGCACAGAATCAATCAAAGCCCCTAAATCCCAGCTTTGTGTCTATCACTCCCCTTCCCAACTCTTACAGGGCTCCTACTGTCTTTAGAATTGAGTTCTTCAGCATGGTAGAGGATGGAATGGACCTCACCTCCCTCTCCAGCCTAGAGGATGCTGGCAGCGGGGAGCCGGCCTCCTCGGCTGCTGTCCATGCTCCTATCTGGGAAGTCCACACCCTCCCTGCTGGGAGCCCTGCCCGCCTCCACGCTTCAGATCAAGGTCCAGCCCTTTCACCACCAGCCTCTCCCTGTGGCCCAGCACTCAGCTCCCTCTCCTCCTGCTCATCACCGGCACTTGGCTGGAAGAGGTTTATCACTGTGTGCATGTGTCCTCCCTCCCATGTCTATTGAGAAAAGATTCACTCACACCTCTCAGAGGCTCTACTCCCTGCAGTGGGGTTTGTGGAAGCGGTCACTGACAAGGCTTTACCCCAGGCTTTCTCCTGGGTGTGTGTTTGACCTGGGCTCCTGAAGATTTCGAGAGCGAAGCGCTAGAGAAGGGATGGTGGACAGAGTGCAGTTGCTGCTCTGAGACCAAGCCCCCTCCCCACCTTGGCAAGACAGCAGGCCCGTTGCAAGGTCGGCTTCCTCCACTGCAGTGAAAACACCAAAACTCACCAGCCCAGAGCCCACCACCAGTCTTCCAGCCTCTTGACAACTGTTGACAGTGTCAAGGAATGAACAGTCATTAGCCTTTTCCCTTCATAGGCAACGCTCTCGGGGAAGTTGATCAGGGAAGGACCAGCATGCTGACATGCTGACAAGAATTGTAATAACTAAGATGTGATGGAGCAGAGTGGTCTAGGCACTGGAACTCACCTGCCTATATTCCAAGACCAGCTCTGTTACTAATTAGCTGTGCAACCTCTGGCAAAGCCGTTAACTTCTCTGTTACAAGGGCAGTATACTGGTTACGAGGATTAAATGAGTGAAAATAAGATGCCTAGGTCAGTATCTGGCACGTGGTGTTCAATGAATGCAAGCTATTCTTGTTTTTCAAAGAGGAATTACAAATATTTAGAATATTTTTAAAGGTTGGACTTGGGGCTATCTCTATAATCCTGTCCCCTCACCAAACTTCTCCTTGTGCTGGCCTTTTAAAATCATTTCTTCTTCTTCAGCTTTGGACCTAAACTGTCCATCTGAAGTGGTTTCTGTGGGAGGCAATACTAGAGTAGCCAGTGTAAAAGGCTCTCGGTGCCCAGCAGATACGACCTACCCCGCACCCTGGGCATGAGCAGCCTGTGCCTAAGGGCTTGGGGGTGTGCCTGAGACCAGGGCTGAGGTCTGCTTTCACCGCTTCGTCCAGTGAATTGTTTATAAGCAGCTCTTGGTGGCTCTGCAGTTTCTACGTAGGTCCCAGAACAGCTGTACGGCTGTGGATATTGTCCTCAGCTGTGCCAACCTTGGCTTCCCTAAGGGTGGTGCAGCCATGCCCCTCACCGTGAGCAGACCTGTGGGACCACACCTGTCCCCAGGATGGCAGCAGCTCGCTTTCCGTCCTGCTCTGAGAGGTCACCACAGGGTAAGATGGGAAATACTCCTGGTCAAGGTTTCGAGTCAGTCTTATGCCTACACTTTCCAACCAGGACAGGCTGACAGAGGTGGCAGGGAAGGCTTGGCATCCACTGCTCTGGACATCTCAGCCCATCATGGTGATCCCCCAGGCCCTCCTGTGTGTGGACGGCCAGAATGAGCAGAGACAGGGGGATGGATCAGATGACTTCTGGAGGCCCCTACCAAACTGAGGATTTTCACATGGAAAAGCTATCATGTCAACACATTAGTGGAAAATAAACCCTTTTCCTCTCTCTGGGCCAGTCTCCCCTTTACTCCTTCAGCAGTTAGATTCAAAACACTCAGCCAGCCCAGATTAGCTGTCGGAGTGGCAGAGTGAAGAGAGAAACTCCATCGTGAGCTGAGAGGGATAATGCTTTCTTCAAGTGCTTCATTAGGGTTTTAAAGAGGAAGGAAGGAAGCCAGATGAAGGGTGAGGGAGGGGGTGGAGAGGGGTGCTGTCAGAGGATAGGAGGAGGGCAGTGCAGCCAGGGGAGTGCTTCTGTCTCAGCTGATCAGGATTTGACAGGACTTGTCCTCCCGGGCCTCCGCAGTGGCTGCCCTCTACTCCCCAAGGGTAAAGTGTCGCTTCCCAGGGAGCCATGTACCCTGCCCTGTCCAGGGCCACCAGCCTCAGCCTTGGGTTCAGGCCAGACTCTATTCCAGTGCTGGCCACGAGAGTGGGGTGTGAGAAGCCTGCTATCCTTGGAGCTCTCGTTCAGGACTGGAATTTATGAAAACATTTCAAACCAAATGGAGGGGTCAGGGAAAAGACCCTTTCACTCCCATCTCTTCTCTAGGTATAAACTGGCCCATCTGAGAATTCCAAATGCTGAAAGGCCCCAGATGGCAGGATTTATGCACCACCCCCCTTCTCTCCACAACCCAAGAATGTGAAATACCAGCAAACAAGCCTCATCCAAATTAGGAAGTGAGTGGCTCTGTCCGCCTGGCTGCTTCCCCTTCAGGTCCCTTTAAACCCACAGTGTTATCAAGACTCAAGTTGTTGTTGACCTCAAATCATATCCCATCACTACAAACCGTGCCCTGAACCAAAAATGCTGCTTCAAAGGCAGCTCTCAGCCCCAAGCCCCCGGCCAGTCCCAGCCCTAGTGCCCCCATGTCCAAGCCTGTGATTGGAGCCCTCTCTGGGCCAGAGATGGGGTATCAGCCCAGACCCAGGGCTCCTCTGAGGAGCCACGCGTAGGGGTGACATGAGGCGGCTTTGCCAGACAGAAGCTGAGGTCTGGGAATGTGCCCTAGGACCAGACTCCCGCCCCTGACTTCCAGCAGTGGAGTGTGTGCCCCAGGTCCTGGGCAGGCACTGAGCCTGTGAATGAGAGGCACAGAAAGCGGCCCTTCCCACCCAGCTCTGGGCTATGAGCATTGTCAACAAGCAGGGCTCTGGGAGCGGACAGTGACTAGGACAGGGTTTCCCTTCCTCCCGGCCCCAGCCATTTTACCTTCTTGGGAGAGGACGATGAACTTGGTGGTCTTGAGCGTCTTTCCATTCAGTGTCCAGGTGATGGTGGCCGGGGGGTCAGAGGACACTTGGCACAGGAGCAGCAGCTTCTGACCCTCTGCCACACGGAGATCTCGCAGCTTCTCCTTGAAGGTCGGGGCTGTCCCTTGGTTCTCTGGTCTCTTTTCACTATCTGTGGCCCCTGCATGGCCCTTCTTGCAGTTCACATCATTCTTAACCTCCTTCTTAAGTTCTTCTTTCCCACTGGATTTTGGGATTTCAGCTGGCTTGGCATTGCCCAAGTGTTTGGGGGCCTCAGCTGGCTTGGCGTTATCCAAGGGTTTTCCCAAGGGTTTGGGGGCATCAGCCAGCTTGGTGTTGCCAACGGGTTTCAGGAACCCTGAAGGCTGGGCATTGCCCACAGGCTTGGGACCTTCTGCTGCCTTGGCATTCAAGGCCTCAGTGTTATCGCTACCATTCTCTGTTGGTAATTTTTTCTTACTGCCCAACACCGAGCGAAAATCTGGGGTGGCAGGTTTTGGAGGGGGTACTTTCTCAGGCACAGGGGTCTTGGGAGTCCCCTTCTTGGCCAGGACAGAGCGGAAGTCCACCTGCTGGGGGCCATGCACCTTCCTTTCCTCCTCTGACAGGGTCTTTGGCTTCACTTGCCGCTGCAGGTTGGCGCGGAAATCCATCTGCTCAGCTGGGATCTCCTTCAGGTCCTCTTCAGACAAGGTCTTTGTACTCACCTTCTTGCCCAGGAGGTCGCGGAAGTCCAGCTGCTCAGCTGGGATCTCCTTNTCCTCTTCAGACAAGGTCTTTGTACTCACCTTCTTGCCCAGGAGGTCGCGGAAGTCCAGCTGCTCAGCTGGGATCTCCTTCAGGTCCTCTTCAGACAAGGTCTTGGTGCTCACCTTCTTGCCCAGGAGGTCACGGAAGTCCAGCTGCTCCACCTCCTGCTGGCGAACGGCCTCCTCCGTGTGCTGCCGTGTCTCCACGCGCCTCTTGAGCACCCCACGCACGTCCTCGCCGTCGTCTTCCGCGGGGGCACCCTGCCCTCTCGCCGCCGGCCAGCCAGGCCTCAGGCTCCCGTAGCTGGCACCACCACCGCCACCATCAGCACCAGCTCCTCGGCCACAGAGGCCCTCGCAGCTGGCAGGCTCCCTCCCCCTGCAACCAGTGAAGGGAAAAAGGAAAGTAGCAGGAGGAAAAGGGGCCGGGTAAGAAAGAGACGTCAGGGAGAGCAAATCCCCGAGGGAGGGAGGGAGGGCGGAGGAAAGGGGAGGCCAGGGGGGCTGGCCAGGCCGTGTTTATAGAAGGGAACTTTGGTGAGAGGCGCTTGCTTGCTTAGTTGGTTTGTTACATCGGTAATGACTTCAGTAGCCTTATAAGGGTGTGTGCAAAAAAAAAAAAAAAGAAAAAAATTTACCCCCCCCCCCTTCTCCCTCCCTCATTCTCCTTCCAATCTCTCTGTCTTGGCTCCGGCAGCCTCAGCTAGAGGATACAAACAATCTGGGGCTGCTGGGCTGGGCCTGCTGGGACCAGGAGGAAGGTGGGTGGACAGTGGCATAGGGCCTGGCCTGGCAACCCCCAGGGGACACTCACCGCAGGACCACTCTGGCCGGGCTGCTCTGTAGCATCAGGGACACCTGGCAACTGCATTGGCCAACACGGTTCCTGAAGAATTCAAAGGATCAATACAGATCAAGGGGCTTTCTGGGCCAAGGGCGGTAGGGAGGGCAAGGCAGGCAGGACCTTGGCCACAGGTTGGCTCCAGGGAAGAGAGGACCATGGACCTGTGACCCTAACACACCTACACCAGACCTAGGTTTAGGGCAGGGCCCTCCCTGACTTTGGTCACCCTTTATCTTTCCAGCTCTAGCTTAAAAAGGAAAAAAAAAAAAGAATCAGCTAAGGTAGGCATCCAGAAATAGGAATACTTTATTTAAGTATATTATAAAAATAATACAATTGACACTCAGTCAAGGAAGAGTAAAGACTAAAGCTGCTGAGAGCTGTGATGGAGCTGCTTGGTCTAGATTGTGCAGCCCCACTAAACTTGCCCAGTGACCCTGAGTCTCATTCCATGCCCCTTGAATACTGGGGTGGTTATTCCTTCTCCTCACAAGGTGCCCCCATCTGCTGGGTCCCCTCCACCTGCTCGTGAAACGAAAACACCCTCTAATCCCTACCCAAGTGACCCTTTTTCTTCGTCTGTCACGGAGAGGGCTCGGGATTCTTTAGCTCAGTGTTAACACTGTCCATGACCAGCTGGGGAAAGGGGCTCGGGAAAGGGGCTGTACCATACCCATGCTGTGCTGGGCTTACAGCAGATCAGCCGTCAAATCCCACAAGGCTGCCATCTGCTGGCAGGTCTGGGCTCTGACCAGCCCAAGAAGGCGCTGCTCAGACCAGGGGAAGCAGTGGAGGCAGATAGTCAAAGGCGCCTCTGCCTGCTAATAACCATGTTTTATGTAGCACCCTCCATCTTTCATGACTCACAGCCACTGTGTTTCTTGTCCCCACAACAGCCCAGTGAGGTTCACAGCATTCTTGTGCCCATTGTAAAGGGAAGGAGGGGAGACTCAGGGTTTCTAGGTTGCAGTGTTGGGCTCTTGGGCAACTCATTTCCTGCACTTGTCCATATCATGTGCACTTTAGGGGCTGGCACCTGCACCAGGTCCTACCGTAGACCTAATCCATCTCATATATTCCATCTCACTTACTCATGACAGATCTGTGAGGCTGGTGTCAGCAACAGTTCTTACAGGTGAGAAAAATGAGGCTTAAACTCACAGAGATGGCTAGTAGGGAAAAGGGTTGGAACCTGACTTGTAATTTTCCTATCCCACCCTACAGTGCTCTTCAGTACAAATCTATCCCGGGACATGTGTGTGTTTGTGAGTGTCTATGTGTATATGTTTATATCAGCCACATGTACATGGGATCTACCTGACGGGCACCTGTACCTGTCAGTTCATGATTGGGAACGTGTGTATGTTACCCCCACATGGACAGAGAGCTGAGCACATGTTCCTGTGGCTCTGCCAATGCACTCAAACAATTACCTTGCTTTGGGGGGCCTCCCTCCCAATGCAGGGCCAGCTCCAGGTCAGGCACCAGCAGCCCATGGTGTGGCAGATGATTCTTGAGGGTCCCGGGGGTCACTATTCGCTCCTCGACACTGGGAACCCACTTGATAGAGGAGAGGTTGGCCTTTCATGCTCCCTAACCTTCTCTCATCTGCTGGGTACCTGCTGGTTACCTTCCTCAATGCTTGGGTTCTAGGGGGTGCAGATTCAAGGTTCAGGCACCCCGCTGTGGGCAGTGTGAGTGCCCACAGACAGCACTTAGGTGTCTTCTCAGCACTAGGCTCTGGGAAGGCTCAGGCCCTCAGAACATCCTGGGAACTCAGCAGGATGAGCAGGATGAGCAGGATGAGCAGGATCAGCAGGATGAAAACTAACAGGGCTTGGGTGACTCACAGAATAGCCATGGGAGTCACTTGTAGCTGAGGCCTTGCCCCTGAGCACCCTGCTTCTTCCAGGTTGCTGGCTAGTAGGGCCCACTCTGTTCCCACTTCTCTTGTAAGCACAGGGTGCAGGGTCTGGGGTGGGCATGGAGCATGACGACAGGGTGCCCCAGGGCTGTGTTTTCTGGGGCGCCCTTTTCAACATCTCCTCTGCTGAGTTTCTTCCTGTCACAAATAGAACATAGCCCAGATGCAAATTTAGAAGCAGATGTTGACCACACAGCCATGCTTCACCCCAGCCAAGCCCCTCAGAGGCTTTCAACAGTCGGGTGCCCTGACCCCTGAGCTGAAGTGAGCGCTAGCTCCCCGCAGGGGAAGCTGGCAAGGGCTTCTGTTGTTTTATATTACCTGCCTTGAAGAAGGGGGTGCAGGCAGCCTGCTGCCCAACCCTTCTCCAGGCCTCATGCAGGGGCACCCAGACAGTCTGAAGTGGCAGAATTGGGAATACTACAGCAGTCCCACTAAAGAGATCATCTCTTGGCATGATCTAAGGGTCACTATTTCTACAGCCACAAACTGAAATCTCTGCTAGACTTTTCTTTTAACTTTGTATTTTGTATCTGAGTATAGACAATTAACAATGTTGTCATAGTTTGAGGTGGACAGCAAAGGGACTCAGCTATACATATACATATGTCCCTTCTCCCCCAAACTCACATCCCCTCCCATCTGGTCTGCCACATAGCATTGAGCCGACTTCCCTGTGCTATACAGTGGGTCCTTGTTGGTTATCCATTTTAAATATTTGGCTAGACTTTTAAGGCAAATCATGGGTTCATGTGGAAAGGTCAGAGGGGCCGGTTATCTGGCACCCACACCCAGATAACCTAAACAGCTGATCAGCCTCTTGGGGTCTCTTTAGTGTCGGCACAGACTCAGTTAAAAAGTCAGGCCTGAGGCTGAGGCCCCAACCCCATGCCCAGCCCAGGTGCTGCCACAGAGGTATGGAGCTGTCACTCTATAAGCGGCACCTTTCGCACCCAACAGAATGCTCTGTGCTCCCTACCTCCTAAGGCCTGAGTCAGAAGCCCACTCTCTGGTTACAAAATCTTGGACCCTGCCCCACAATGAATCACCCACCCCTGAAATGGATTCTATATGCAAAATTGAAGAACTAATTTCCTGGCAAGTATCAAACTTTCAAATATTTCAGCTAGAATTTGGAGCTGATTTTTTGACATTTCCCCGTTTAGTTCAGGAGAACTAGGGAAGGGGAGGGAAGGTAAGAATCAACCACCTATATGTACCCCCAACTACAGCAGCAACAGAGAGCACCTGTCCCACCCCCACCCTCAGCCCAGCTTCCTCCTAGTCTCTGTCCTTGAAAGGCATTCTGTCCTGGGTACAGGTCTGATTCTCTCTAGGTCTGGGTCTGAGAAAAGTCAGAGGAGCCCCTGGCAGGCCTGGCACACACTCCCCAGGGCAATTTTCCATGGACTTGCCTCCTTACTGGGGAAAAAGCCAAGGCCAGGGAGCAGTCTCCCAAAGGAATGAGGAGACTGGACTCAGGGGAGGGAAGATGGGTGAGGGATGCACGTTTGGGGACCCCAGTGTAACGTCCTGTCCCAGGTTTCCCAAGTTCCAGTGTGCTAAAAAAAGAATGGAGGAGCATCTGATTTAATGACAGAGCTGAGGGTTCCAGTCTGGGCTCTGCTACTCACCTTTGGGTGGCCATGACCTTGAGGCCTCAGCTTCCCCCATTATTAAACAAGGAGGTGGTTCAGTAACTTCTGAAGTCCCTTCCAGCTAAGACAGTCTAAGTTTTATGACTATCCCCAGCTGGGCCCAGACGGTCTGCCTGCCGACCTCCCAGTGCAACCCTCCACTCTGGCCTGGCAGGCTTCCCACAGCCTTGCTCTGCTCTTTCCTACCCTCTCACACTCAGGCTATCCAGTGAGACTTGTCTCATTTGCCTCAAAATCCCACAAAAAACTCATCTCTTCTAGGATGTCTAGCTTGAGTACATGAATACTGTCTGAAAGCACTGTTCCTTTCATACAGATAAGCTCTGTTCTAACACAGAATCAGTTTCCATTATTTGCGCTGGCTGAGAGGAAGAAACTATTTTCTCTCTATTTTGGAGGCAGATTGGTTTTCCGATAATAACTAGTTCAGGAACAAGGCTAAGGGCATTGGTGTGTTCTGAGCATATTGCTGACGGTGACAGGATAATCAATTGGCCCACAACCATCTCATCAGCTGCCACGGATGTGGTATTACCTCAGGTGAGGTTTGCTGAGCCTTGCCAGCTAAGTAGGATTTCCTAGCAGATCCAAAGATGCCCAAGAAGTAATAAGTGGCTATTTTACTAAAACTGACCAAATATTAGGATGGTTTGTTTTGCAGCAAAAGCTAACAATTCAAGTATAAAGCACATGCCCAGAAAGGACCCAAGTAGATGGAGCACATGCTAGGTTTTGTCCTTAGAACAAAGCTCCATCATGGCATAGCTTTGGCATATGGTTACAGAGCCTGTCTATAGCTCAGAGCCCTAAACACCGTGGGTTCAGTACAGGGAAATGATTGATCCAGGAGAGCAAGCCCCTTGTAAAGAGGACAGGTACCTGAGCCAGAGCAGTTCAACCATCTTCAGGATGTGGCAAATCTGTTTGCAGAGTCATGGTAAAGACAAATGCTCTTCTTCGGTGCTAATACCAACCCTAGGGGCTGGTGTTCTGTCCCCATCAACCCAGGGTGGACATGGAGTTTCAAGAATTAGAGCATTTTAAAGTTGAAAAAATATTTCTGGATCACATCCATTTAACAAATAGCTACCAAATGCTGACTTCGGGCAGACAATGTTCTAAGCACTGGGAACACAGCAACGTGCCTTCATGGACCTTACCTTCCCACGTTTCCTAGAAAGACCTTGAAAGGGAGGAGAATTGAATGGGGACAGTTAATGTCCCTGTAGTGGTTTTAAATGTCTACAAACTCTTTGATACTCCTCTCTCCAAGAGGAGAACTTATTTCCCCTTTGCTTGAATATGGGCTGTACTTACTGACTCATCTCTCACGGATAGAACGTGGCAGAAGTAATGACTGCCGAAGAATGGTCATAGGAGACTGAACCTAGTTGTCTTCCTTGGACCCTCAGCTCTGGGGAAGCCAGCTGCAGTGTCATGAAGATGCTCAAACAGCCCTAGGGAGAGGTTCACATGGCCAGGAGCTGAGGCCTCCTGCCAACAGCCTTGTGAGTGAGTGAGTCATCATCGATGTGGACCCTCAAGCTTCAGTTGAGTCTTCAGGGGCAGTAGCCCCTGATGATATCTTCATTGCAACCTTGTATAAAAGCCTGAGGCAAAACCCATACAAACTGTGAGAATATTATTGCTGTCTCAAGCTGCTAAGTATGAAGGTGAAAGATAACAAATTCCTTTCATGGGACTTTCCAGGTGGCAATAGTGGTAAAGAACCTGCCTGTCAATGCAGGAGACGTCAGAGACCAGGGTTTGATCCCTGGGTCGGGAAGATCCCCTGGAGGAGGAAATGGCAACTCATTCCAGTATTCCTGCCTGGAAAATCTCATGGACAGAGGAGCCTGGCAGGCTATAGTCCATGGCATCACAAAGAGTCAGATGTGACTGAAGCAACTTAGCACAGCGTATTCCCTTCACAATAGATAACGCTGCTTTCCCAATTTTAATCCATTTTTCCTCAGTCATATTCTTCATATACCAAATAATAGGAGGAACAAAACCAGGATGTAATAAGATGGAGGACTCTGGGGAATTGAGCTCAGAGGGGAAGGCTCTCAATGAACCTCTGTTGTCCTGAGATGGAAGAACAAAAGCTTGTCAGCAGCACCACGCCTGCTCTTTCTTCTCCCTGAAGCCCAGCCCCACATTCTTCTGTGGCTCCTCTGGCTTCCCAGTCCCAAGTAGCGACTTTACCAGGAGGTAGGAACTGGGTGGGGAGGGGTTAGAGGAAGTCAGCAGGGCATGCAGACTCACTTGAGCAGGATCTCATACTGGCCGGCGTGCCAGGGCTGCACGTTTTTCAGCACCAGGGTGAACACATCCTCATTCTGAAGCACCTCAAAGTGGCCAGTGTCTCTGGAGAGGGCTTTGCCATCTCGGAGCCAGTGCACAGTGGGGAAGGGGTCGCCGGCTATGGCACAGGAGATAAGGACACTCTGGCCCAGGCAGGCAGTCACTGAGCGGGGCTTGCTGATGAACCAGGGCTGGGTGCCATCCTGTGGCTCTGAAGTTAGCAGAGTATTGAGTTAGAAAGGAAGGCCTTTCAGCCGAGAGCATCCATTCAATTCTCCAAGGCGGTGAAGGTCAGAAGACAGCATGTTACCCAAAGAACAGCTCATCCAGAAATGACTCTTATTGAACACTCAGGGAGAGCACCTCGTTCTCATGGTAAATCTGTCTCGGTTGCTTCTCAGAGGGCAATATTAACATGAACTTGTATAGCCAAAGCAAGGGGAAGTCACCTAGAAGGTACAGGGGCACTGGGATAGGTAACAATGATCTGTATGATGAAGAGCTGTCACTTGCTTGTGTGTGCTTAACTTGTCTCTCCTCTTAAGTATGGGTTCTCTAAAGGCAAGGGCCCTCATAGGCCCTCACCTCCAAAGTGTGTTAGGAGATTTCTCTCCTAGCACTCTATGCAGCTGATCACCAGTAATCCAGGGAGAGCAGGGGTTTCTAAAGGCAGGGAAGGGTGGCCCCACTCAGCCAGAGCCTCAGACGAGGATGCGGAGCTGGCCGCTGGGGCTGGGAGGGAACCAAGGGAGCAGAGGAGATGGCAACAAAGTAGGCTCACATGGTTTCCTCACCTTCAGATGGTCTTTGGAGAGACCGTAACCACATAGCTACCTCGTCCCTGCCCCGCTTCTGGTCACCAGGTCACAGGTCAGCCTCACCTTGCACAGTGAGCACGGCCTGTGTGCGGACCTCTCCAGCGCTGTTCCAGGCCTCACAGGTGTAAGTGCCCGTGTCCTCCGGGAACACTTCCTGGATACACAGGCTGTGCTGAGTGCCTCTCTGTTCAAAGTGGAAGTCCTCGGACTCCTGGATCTCATTCCCATCGTGAAGCCAGATGACCTCCGGGGGCGGGTTCCCTGAACGGAGAGGAGCAGCAGGGGAGCTGGTCAGAGAGGCGCTTCCTGGGCTGTGGCCAACTCTACTTAGTACTGTGACATTGCATTGCTTCAGTCTTCCCATCCATAAATATTCTAACCCTACCTACCTCATAGGTTTACTGGGAGGGTTAAATAAATTAATACCACCCCCTTAGCAGCCCACTAGAGAAGCCGATTAGAGCAGCACCTGGAGCAAAGAAAGTACTCAATACATGTTCATTATAATTACTTAACAACAAACTTGGGGAAACCAGAAAGAACCCAGAAGTGAAAAAAAAAAAAAATGATTTCAGAGATGAAAAATACACTGGTAGAAAAGCTTTTAAAAGCAGAATTCAGACTGATAATGCTGAGTGGTAGCTGGATCAGTGGGTTGCAGCTCTGTTTCCTGCCCCGCACACCTCACACAGGGCTTCACAGAAACTCCCTTGTCAGTTTTCACCAAGGAAAGGCTCCATTAGCACTTCATTTTGGTACCATACAAATGTCCAAGGGTGAAGAGGGGTGTCAGGCTTTCCAGACGCAGCTCACAGTGGATGGCATTTTCAGTTTTTGCTAGTCTACTTCCCTGGGGGTAGCTTCCAGCAATTTTGGGGGGGCATAAAACAACAGCCACCTGTGAGGGTTCCTCTGTGATAAGAGCTGAGCCATGGTGCTTTGCTTCCAGGGGAGAAAGACCCCGGGAATAGCTGCGTGGTGTTGGGCTCTTTCAAGGGCAGTGAAGACCACCACCTGCCTCGATGGGGAAGCCAACCCCATGTCTGGAGGCCGGGGGGCCTCTGATTTCTAAACTTGAGGAGTGTGTGCAGCGGAGGGGACCCAGCCTCTGCCTGCATTATCCAGGAACTGCCTCCAGCCTTTGGGAGCAGGGAGTCCACCCTGAGACCATGGGTTCTCTCCCAGCTCATCCTTATCGCCTTTGCTCCAAAGAAACTGAAAAACCAGAGAGGACCTCCAGGCTGTCAACAGGACTTATCAGAGGCCAGCACAAGTCTATGTCATTAAGACTGTGCCAGGAGATTCCCCAGGCTTCGCTTGCTGGCTTCCAGCAAGGACTGTGACGTCTTCCACTGGGCTGCTCATCCCATGCTCTTGTCATCCCATCCCTATATGAGAAGGCCTCTGTTCCATCTTCTTGCCGTAACATTTAAATACAGCAACTATCTTTCAAGAGTCTGAGAGTTCTCACATCATCTGGTTTTGGACCAGTGTTCACAATCTCCAGTTACACTGGCCACACTATGTTTTCAATTAATCCCCCACCTCTCAAGCATGGCCATCTTTTTCCCCTGAACCACTTAACCTTGAATCCAGAAACTCCTGCCCAGAGAAAACAGAAAAGGGGGGCCAAGAGGCTTCACTTCTTCAGGTCCATTGACTGACAGTTCCAGGCTCATTTTCTGATGGATCAATGAACTGAGCAGGACATCGGGGAGCAATGCCCATGTTGCAACCATGTCCATTTTCATGTATACCCCGAGGACAGAGACATGGGGACAGACCTGACACCTGGACTGTCATGGTGACCTGGCTCCCGTCCATGACTTGGAGATCGGAGAGGCCCTGCAGGAAGAGGGGTGCGACGGGCTTGTTGGGGGCCGCAGGCAGGAGGTACTCACTCTTCTCCTCACTCTTCTTCTCTGTGTGGCAAACAGAATGTGGGGTGAACATCCACTCACTCATTCCACAGACACGGACTAAAGGAATACACAGCATGTGAACATGCTGGGGCTCATGTTCCCACCAGAAACTGACTACTGCCAGATAAGGAGTGGGGGAGGCCCAGGAGACCCCTCGGAACAAGATGTGCCCATTTCCCTGCATGGCATGACAGTGCTCTTGCCTCCCAGCAGGAAAGGACGAGGCCTCTGGAGGGCCATGTCCAACCTAGGCTCTGGGTCCCCAGGAGCACTTCCAGGGGATAGAAGTGTTGGGGGAGAGCCAATGCTTGGCATCCTATGAGATTTTTACCCCTTAAATTTTATTTACTCTTTTGAATAAGTGATACATTCATATGGCATAAAGTTCAAAAGGTACAAAGAGTATGTGTACAGTCTCCCCTCTACCCCTGTCCTCTGGCCCAATATCTCTCCCCAGAGGCAACCAGTTTCCAGCTTCTTGTTCATCATGCCAATGATGGTCCATGTGTATAACACACAATAGTACATAGGTATATACTTTTATTTTTCTTCTCTTAAAAGACTGATAGCAATCTATATACAATGCTTGGCACCTTGCCTTTTCATCTAACAATACAGTCATCCCTTAGTATCTGCAGGGGATTGGTTCCAGGACTCCTTACTGATACCCAAAATCTGCAGCTGCTCAAGTTCCTTACATAAAAAAAAATAGCATAATATTTGCATATAACCTAAAATCCTCCGATGTACTTTAAAATCACCTCTTGATTCCTTGTAATACCTAATACGATGTAAGCACGATACAGTTGCCAGCACGGCAAATTCAAGTTTTGCTTTTTGAAACTTTCTGGAATTTTTTTTCTCAAATATTTTTGATCTGTGGTTGTTTGAATCTATAGATGCAGAACCCGCAGGTACAGAGGGAGGACTGAATATCTAGATGTCTCTCATAAAACAGAACTAGAGAGCGTCTTCATGGTTTTCTGTGACTGTGGGGTGCTCCCCTACCATCTCCTGAGACTTAAAGCACTTCAAGAAAATCAAAGACACTACATCAATAGAATGACTAAAGTTAAAGACTGATCATCCTAAGGACCCTGCTAGCGAGGATGTGGCACAACTGGAACTCTCCTACACTGCTGGTGCGAGTGCAAAATAGCTCAGACCCTTTTGAACACAATCTGACAGTTTCTTAAAAAGTTGATTAACTTTTTAGCACATGATCCATTCATTCTATTCCTGGGTATTTACCCAAGAGCAATGAAAGCACATGTCCAAACAAAGACTTGTACACAAACTTTCATAGCAGCTTTCTTCCTAATAGTCCCAAACTGGAAAAACCCAAATGCTCAACAACAAGTGAATGAATAAACACACTGTGATGTATCCATACCAATGGAATACTCCTCAGCGCTAACAAAAACACTACAACAAGGACAAATCTCACCAAAGTTACACTGAATGGAAGAAAGCAGACCAAGAAAGTATACTGGATGATTCCATTTATATAAAATTCTAGAAAAAGCAAAATATAGTGACAGGTTGTTTGGGGCAGGGGTTGGAGGATAGATTGTAAAGGGGCATAAGAAAGCGTTTGGAGTGAAGGAGATGTTCATTTCTTAAAATGGTGGTGAAAGTTTCATGCATGAAAGTTCAAAGTAAACACCATAAATATATGCAGTTTTTTGTACAGCCAAAATGGGGTGGTGGGGTGGGGTGAATCTCTCTCTGGGAGAGGGAAAGAGTGCCCCAGCTAGTCAAAGACAGAAACTAGAACAACTCTCTGGGTTCAGGGCTGGCCCACTCACCCCCATTCTGTTCTCTGGGGGAGGTAGGGTAACAAACAGGCTTTCTTTCTTTCTCAGAATCCTCCCTAAGCTGGGCTCTGACCTGCCTCACAAGAGCCAAAGGGAAAGGGGCAGCGGAGAGGTGAGCTGGTATGTGTTTCCCACAGCTCCCAGCTGCTCAGTCTCTGATCCTGCCCTTCATCCTGCTAGCCACACGGTTTTGATCTTCAATAATTCTTTTTCAGTCTTTTTGTTTTTGTCTTGGTGGGGGGCGGGGGAGGTGGGTCTGGAGCAGGCAGGGGTAGAGACAAAGAAGGCTATGGTATCTCTAAGGTAAACTCTAAGTTTGGGGGCAGGAGGACTGTGGTATTTTGAGTTCTTTTTAGCCCACAGCCACACAAACCAGATCTTCTCCTGGAAGCCTGTAGCCATGACAATACATTTCTAGGCTGATTTACATACCTGGGAAAGGCCTAACTCCAAACTGGCCACTAAATGAAAACAAAATATGGCATACTCAGAGCATGCCCTGCACAGCCTCTGGGGATGAGGGTGGGAGAGGCTGGGAACACCAGGCAGGTGGAAGGACAAGTTTCCCCAAGGCAGGTGCTGTGTGAAGGGCGTGGAGCCAGAGTGCAAGGGGACACAGGACCCATGACCAGAGGACAGGCTCTCAGAGCCAATCTGCCCCAGCCCTGGCATCATCGCCTCTGACAGGGGCAGCCAGACACCCTTGGCAGAAGGCCCATGCAGTGGGCTCGAGGGACCCAATATTGGGAATGCTTAGATCTCCCTGGGCAAGCAGGCTGCCTCGGGAGAGTTGAGGAATTTCCTCTCACACAGAACGAGAAGGCTCAAGGACAAACTGTTTTTGCCTGTCCAGAGCCCTCCCAGTTCCCGCCTCTCCACTGTCTTGGCCAGAGTCCCAGCTTCACAGAGCTCACTGCAGATGGACTCTCCTTCCCAGATGCTGCAGGAACATCAAAACCTCCAGCTCCCTTTCCTGCAAGCAGTTAACAGCTCCTCTTTGACCCCTCCATGTGTTATGTCTTCCTACTGCTCAGTTTCCAGGCCTGGGGCTTCGGCAAAGCCAAGCCACCCTACGGGTCTCAGCCAATGCAACTGAATGCCTAGCTACACCCCCCTGCCCTGAGAGGGTGTCCTGGGCACTGCCTGCCATGTGACACTCACTGGTTCTCTGAAAGCCACTGAAACGTAGGATCTGAGGCTGGGACTTGGTCTTGGGCAAGGCACTCTCTCTTTCTAAAGCTTGACATCCTCAACTTTATTTAGGGGAATAACAGTACTATTACAGGACCTTGGGGGTTTAAAGAGATAATATATGAAAGTACTTTGTCCAGCTATCCATCACCCACGTTCACACGTGTGTGAGGCTGGCATGAGCGCTCACTCACACCTACCTCTTGGGCTTAATTACATGGTGGGTTTATCAGCAGCAGAAGAGCAAATGGAGCCTCACCCCAGGATTAAAGATTCTCATTTTTATGTCACCTAAGGGAAATACTGTTAGGAATACAAATGTGTTGCTTAAAAATATCATGGATATATCTAAAGTAAACCTAATTTTGAGAACAAAATTTCACTGCACTCCTCCAGAGAGAGATGAGTGACAGTGTCTGGATCTGTGGAAACTGCCCCAGGCAGGCATTTAATTCCAATGTCACCCATCATCTCTGACCCTGTTGTTGCCTCCCCAGCAAGGGTCCCACAGCAAGAACAAAGAGGAGAGGGAAGTGATGGGGAGTAAATGTGCAGAATGAACCTGTTCTCAAGCCTGCCATTCAAGGTCACGTGGGACTAGAGCCACAGAGAGCCGGGCTCAGCCCCAGTCGCTGCCCCAGAGTCTTCACAGAATGAGGAAAACAACCAAACCTCCCCTGCAAACACACTCTGGGGTCAGATCCCGGAGCCACTGAGGATGTCAGTTTTAGGGCAAGCAGCTTCCTTAGAAAACCCCAGAAAAGCAGCCCTAACTTGAATCCTGAAACCCCAGCCCCAAGCCCACCACCCAGCTTTACTGGAGAGAGGCTGGGATGTGCTCCGGTGAAGTAAGGTATCTAAGGTCCCAGAGCCAGTGACAGGCAGACTGAGAGCTCAAACCCAGGCCTCTTGACCACGAGGCCAAGGTGTTCCGAGATTGTCTTTTCCAAGGGAGCCAGTCACCTGTAGGGATGGCCACGCTGGACTCCCCATGAGGACAGATGTGCTATGTGGACCCCCATCCTAGACACCTGACAAGGGAGAAAAGCTAACACGGAGCAGGGAAAGTCAGGGGAAAGGGTGAGGTGTATGTTTGTATTTCATTCCAAAGCCATACACAACTTATCCTGGCTCATCTGTGGCCGACAGATCACATATCAGTTTATGCTCCCTCTTTGCATGGATTTAAATACATAAGAAGAGACAGATGGAAATGGGTGCTGTGAGATCCTAGCTTGAAGTGTGTGATCTGAAGCAAGTCCCCCAAGCTAAGCCTCAGTGTTCTCTTCTCTAAATTGATACGAATACAGTTATCATCAGTTATTGACAATCATGCCCATGTGATAAGGGTAATGCACACATCATTAGTATAATGCATGATAAATACTGCCGGATTTTCAGATGAGTCAAAGAAATGACATATGTAAAACAGCTAAAGAATATCTGGCACATAATAAGTACAAGAATAAATGTTTTGTGCCTTTCCTAATCTATTTTTGGTTAGGCAAACTCAATCTGACAATAACTATTGATACAATGAGAAATGATACAATATGGTGTCCTCCCAAACCAGGGTATTCACATATGTCAGAGATCTGAAAGGTCTCAGCTGCCACTGAGATAACATTATAACAATGCCTTACAAAGGTCAGCACTTAACGATTCTAAAGGATATCCGCAGCTCTCAGTTTATGTTCAACACCCTCTGAAGTCGGGAAGAATGTGCCCTCATTTTACAGCAGAATGAGTTGAGACTCAGAGAAGGAAGCTGGCTGAAAACCTGACATGGCCAATGGGGTCCTGGTCTGGATGCTCCCTTCCTGACCTGAGAACAAAGGCCAGTCAGCTAGATTCCCCTGGGAGCTTTCTGTCCTTGTGCTCTGGCCCAGAGTAGCTGGTTCTCCTAGAGACGTCTCTTCTGGAGCCCTGCTTTAGCTGTCACCTGGCGCAGTCCTGGTTTCAGGCAGCGTAGGTAGGCCAGGGTCTGAGGGA